TCGCCCCGCCCAGCCTGGGCTGTGGGCTGTGGGCTGTGGGGCATCCCCTCCTGTTCCCCGCTCTCCCTTTGGAAGCTCCCGGAGATCGTACTCCGGGAAGACACGGCCCTGCTGCTGGTCAGAGCTATGTTGTAACCAAGGCCCCTCTGACCCAGCTACTTGTGCCCGGAATGACCTTCCCTGTTGCCTTCTCCCGGCCTGAGTCAGGACCGCAGCCAGGTGTCTTGATCTCCCACCGGCTGCCCAGCCACAAGGGCTGCTGCAACTTAAACCATGCCTCAGGTTTTCATGTGTCAATCTTGGTTACCCCTGGAACTGATATTCCAGACGCAGCTTGCCGAGCCTAGCTGTTAACGATTAGGAGTCGGGATTAGAACGCGAAGTTCATCTTTCCTCAAGTCCTTCCTGTACCCTGCACGTTTTTTGTGGCTTCGGTCACTCCAAAAACCAACTGATAGACCAAATGTAAAAGGACATTGTTTCCCTTTGTGGTCTCAGAGTCTAATAAGCTATGAGTATTAAATATTTTCATAAAAATTATGTATAGAATTTAAGACAGCCTTCCACGGATAGGATTTGGGTTTAAGCCTTCATTGGTTAGGACACACTATCAAAGGAAACAGAAGGCCGGTGGCTGGCTGCATAATTCCCGCTGTTTTCTTCAACCCCTTTGCAAACTCCCCAAGGATGACTGGGTTCGGGGTAAGAGAAATTGTTCACAGGCCTCAGGAGAAGTGCTGAGTGCCTGTGCTTGGGTAAAGGAGACCCGGGCTGTATTATAGATACCTTTAAAATGCAAAAAGCCTGGGTCAGTATGGTTGGAAACTAGTGGACTTGTCAGCTGAGAAAAAGGCAGCCCTGAAGGTATTCCTCCAGCAAGGTGGTCTGACACTTCCCTGCCCCTTGTCAATTCCACATGGTTGGGTTTTAAATCTCTGCATGAAAAGATCTTAGCTGCGTCCTCTTCTGTTTTTTTTTTCATATTAATGTTTTAGATTAGCATACAAAGTAATGGGTATCATTAGGGCATTTTCATCTCTATTTCTTTTTCTTTCATGTAACAAATCTTAATCCAGGCAGGAATCTAAGCGAAAATGACTTGTACCTGGCATTTATCATAATCTCCAGAGACTATGGTCCTAAATGCCATCATCCCAAATGTTGAAGTCCCAAAAGAACCAAATCCCTAAAATGTAAATTGTCTACAGTTAAAATTCCGAAAAAGTATAATGCTGAAATCCTAAAGCCAAAATTCAGAAAACTCTCAATTTCCATGTTTTTTTTAAGATTTTATTTATTTATTATGTATGCAACATTCTGCCTCCATATGCTCACCAGAAGAGGGCAGCAGATCTCATTACGGATGGTTGTGAGCCACCATGTGGTTGCTGAGAACCGAACTCAGGACCTCTAGGAAGAGCAGTCGGTGCTCTAACCTCTGAGCCATCTCTCCAGTCCTCCATGTTTTTTAAAGCAAAAGAAAGGTTATGCCCGGCGTTGGTGGCACAGGCCTTTAATCCCAGCACTCGGGAGGCAGAGGCAGGTGGATCTCTGTGAGTTCGAGACCAGCCTGGTCTACAAGAGCTAGTTCCAGGACAGCCTCCAAAGCCACAGAGAAACCCTGTCTCAAAAAAAAACAAAACAAAAAAAAAAAAACAAAAAAAAAGAAAAGAAAAGAAAAGAAAGGTTACATAAAATGGGTAGAAACCAACTCCCAAGGAAATTTCTAGTCACAGAATATAGATCACACAACCATTCCCAAATGTGCCACCTGCCCTGACATTCCTCCAGTGGACAGAATTTCTGGGGGTTTTGTTTGTTTGTTTGTGGGTTTTTTTTTTATTTTGTTTTGTTTTGTTGGCTTTTTGAGACAGGGTTTCTCTGTGGCTTTAGAGGCTGTCCTGGAACTCCCTTTGTAGACCAGGCTACCCTCGAACTCACAGAGATTCACCTGCCTCAGCCTCCCGAGGGTTGGGATTAAAGACATGCGCCACCACCACCCAGCCAGAATTTCTGATTTTTTTACAGTGAATCAAAGATATATTTGCAACAAGTAGAGACCATCACAAATGGGGGTGGGAGGACAAACTCCAGGTCCTTGACCATTACCCATTAAAAGCATACTCCCAACACCACCATAAGACCTCAATGTTTATAGGCCAGGAACCCTTATGACTTAATCAAGTCAAAATTAGCAGGGTTTAAGATGGCTACACCAATGACAAAAACAAGGAGAAACTGTTACAAGAAACCAGTATAACAATTTCCCCACACACAAAAAATAAATAAAAAATAAAAAAATAAAAACAAACCTCTAGCTTTAGTAACTCAATTAATTTAAAAATCATTAATTCTGGAGGCCACACAGCTGAACGACAACACATTGTTAGTTTCCTGCTAGCTTTTATGCGTGGATTTTGAGAACCATCACCTAGGCAACTTTTGCTACAAACTGTGACTCTTTGCCAAAGTTGCCCACCCAGTGAGTGACTTAAATGGCATAAAACATTTGCATCTCTGTCTTCATATGTGTCTGTCCCTTCTTTTTAACTTGAGTCAAACTCAATTCAACTTGTTGCTCATTTGGGAAATGTTTTGTGGAAGACCACTGGCACATTGTGAACTTGGCCTACTGCCCTCTGGAGCAGTTGTGTGTTTCTTCTGCCCCAACCTGTCTTTCTCTGAGTCTCAAGCACTTGTTGTCCTTCAGCCTTTCTGTACGGTCCAAACCAAATCATGAGGCTAACATATTTATGCAAGATGATGATGTCAAGAAAGACTCAGCAGTTCCTCTGCTAAGCCTCTGCCTGTCACCCTGGAAACCTCAAGGCCAGTATTTGCATACAAGAAGAACATCTTTTGCAACTGTGCTCATGACTAATGGACAATTACCAAACTTTAGTCTCCCCTCACCCACGACTCAATAAAGGCTTGCTGTTCTTCATTGTTAGTTTATTTTTCCCCCTCGATTACCAATGTCTCCCTTGGGCTTAAACTGAAGTTGGTCAGCTTAGGCTGATGTCCCAAAAAGGGGAGCTTGCCTGTCTTCCCATTTGTAGTATTTGGAACATGAAGACATCTCCTTCCTCTGCCTCCGGAGTGCTTGGAGTACAGGCATGTACCACCATGTCTAGCTGCTTCGTTCCAGTTCCACTGTCTCCATGCCCTGGGATTCTGTCATCTAGTACCAATAGCTTGAAGAATACCAGCAGAGTCACTGACTGGTTGCAAAATAATTATATATGTGGTATAAAAAGACACACAGTAGTGGTGCTGTTTAGTCACCAGGGTTGTTTCCTCCAAATCTGTGCTCGGAAAACATGTGAAATGTTCCTCACACCCAAAGATAGAACTCAGCCCCTGTCTCCCTACCCCTTTTTATATGTGTATGGTGTATATACATGTTCATATGATGTACACATACGACGTGTCTGTGGGTGCTGTTCTCATGGAGGCCAGAGACCAGTGTCAGGTGTCTTCCTAAATTCGTCTCTACCTTATTTTTAGAGACAGGGTCTCTCACTGAAGCTGGAGCTCATCAGTTCCCTAGGTACCATCTGTCTCCACCAACAGCACAGGACCTACAACCAGGTACCACCACACCCAGCTTTTATGTGGGTGCTGGGGATTTGAACTCAGTTCTTCATGCTTGCACAGCAGACACTTTACCCACTGAGTCAACCTCCCAGCCAACTCCACTGTCTGTGTGTGTGTGTGTGTGTGTGTGTGTGTGTGGTTTTAATGTGTAGCCGGGTCCAGATGCCTTGAACTCCCAATCCTCCTGCCTTGGCATCCAGAGTGATGGGATTTCAGAGGTGTACCACTATGCTCAGCTATCAAAACTGTCTTGTTTATATACAACCTGTGTTTTGAAAGGTGCCTCTGTATTTCCCACTTATGCTTATCATCACAATTCCTGACTTCTTTCTTATTGTATTTCTTACCTTTAACACATTAGTTTTTTTAACCAGAGGCTTGCTACTGCCTCTTTGTTCTGACCTTGGGCCATTTGTGCTGAGATTACTTTTGCTTCTTTCCCAGTGACAGTGAAGAACTCAGCTTCCTGTCTTTTTCTTTGACTGGTGACCAACCCTTCCAACCCTTACAAAGAAACCGATAAACCAGAACAGATCCAGGAAAGGGTGAAA